CTTACTTACTTACTTACGTACGTACGTACGTACGTACGTACGTACTTACTTACTTACTTACTTACTTACTTACTTACTTACTTACTTACTTACTTACTTACTTACTTACAACCTACTTACATACACACATACAGTCTCATACGTACACACATACATACCTGCCTACATACATGCACACATACATAGATACATACATGCACTTGTATACATCCAGATATGTGTTTCTACTGAGAGCTCATGTCTAGCCATGTCCATTTGGTCATGCATTTAGTTCAATACAGCTTGGCGCCTGGTCTCGGCTTTCCATACCGCGTGTTTGTCTTTGTCACTCTCTATGCCTTTCTCCCTCTCTCGCAGTCTAGAATTCCGAAGCTCGCTCAGTTTTGTTTGATGCTTGCTTGTGGCCAGACTAGCGATCGCAGGCGCAGCTTTGGTACGAGGCATGGCCGCAAAATCTGTTGACACTGGATCGCACAGTCGCTCATATGCATTATACTCGAAGTTGGTGACGAACCGAGGAGAGCACACGTGTGGTGCTGATGGCAGTGCTCATGCACCTGGTCGTGTGTATTATCGCCACTGTGACGATGGCATCGGCGACTGTATACGCTTCGAAGCTCAAGCACTAAGCGACGTGTCCACATCTGTTCACTGCAGTTTTTCGTGTGGCACCTGAATGAAGGGGACACGGATGAGAAGGCGGCGTGCGGACACTAGCGATCGAAGACGAAGTTGCCGCAACACGGTTCGACGAGTTCGACGAGCTAAATTCTCGACATTCCCATAACACACAAGAAGCTGGAGCAGTCGATTGAGTTGCAAGTCTGGCAAGAGTCTCATCGGTGTACCTGCTGGAGATCCGAGAAATGGGGATGACAGAGAAGGAGAGCCTCAGCATAAACAGCAATGCGGCCCTACTGCCCCCACTGTTGTAGCAGGAGCATCACGGTTAGTACACCAGTCGACAAAAGCAGGCAAGCGTGGCGCTGCCTGCCAAGAGCGGTTGGCATCCAGCTACATTCGGAGGCCATTACTAGCAAGTATACTCCTTTCGAAGCCGGAGGAATTGGGGAACGTACCGAATTCTTGCCATGAAGCGCTCTGCCTGCGAAAGAGAAGACCACCCACTTCAGCTCTTGCAAAGGTGCCGGACAGAAAGATCGGTCGCTCTGCCGCCCAGAAATTTTCGGTCAAACCGGCCATTGGAAGGCGAATTGCGGAGTTGGCTGCTCGTGTTGAGTGCACGGCCCTGGTCGTGGCAGCGAGCGGCAGCAACCATGAGCGCAGGGAACATCCAAAAACATTGAACAGGTGAGAGGCTCGCACAAAATGGCTGACAGCTTCGAGAGGCCACAGCTAAAGGATCCCACCAAGGCAAGTTGGCTGAACCTGGCGGCAACCTCCCTGCGACCAGCTGGTGTACAAGCTGCGCGCTTAGGCAGGTCAAGTCCGCGCACATGACGCGGTTTAAAAACATGACATAGTAGACGGACATACGGTTTAGTGACCATCATTCTCAATCGTGAAGCGGGGTAGGCCGGCGATGGCACCCTCCCAGTTGCAGGAGCTCAAGAAGGAGGCCAAGGCCACTCCGCCATCAGAGATCTTCGTGGAGGTGGATAAGCAGATCACCCTTGTATGTACCTCCGTGCCAAGATGGTGCAAGGCTCCGGTCAATGGTGAGGGAAGGCGGTGGCTGTCTCGTGGAGAAGCCCACCGAGCACGGAATCAACATCATTCCCGAGAAATCACCACCTGCTGGAGATCGCACAGCTGTCTCCTCGCGCTTCATCCTCGACTCAGTGGCCAATGGTCTTGCAGAAGGTGAAGGACTTACATCCTTGACAACAAGAAAGCACCTGGCATCATCGGTGCGGATGGTGCGCCGGGCCGCGAGAAGGGAAGGTCCAAGGCAGAGAGGAAGAAGTGTACAGCAGAGGATGCTGCGCTGATCCGCTGGGTGAAGTCCAGGGCCGCGAGCTCTGGGCAGAAGATAGGTGGACCATCGCCTGACCTCTCGGACTTGTGAGGTGCCCGGGGAGCCGCTAGTTGTCTTTCGCGAGAATCCCTGGACCTGATGGAAGCCTAGTCGCCACCAGGTGCAGATGCGAGTGAAGCCAACATCTGTGGAGGTTAGGCAGAAGTGCTATGACGCACACAGACCAGGAAACAATCAAGTTCGACCAGTTCGACAATGATGTCTCAGGGATGCCATGCAATTTAATGTCGTTCCGAGGGCAGATGCTTGAGCAATTGAGCCTTGTGTTTGGCGGCTCGAAAAGCTTGTGTCAAAACAAAGCACATTCTGAAATTGTTGTCGGATGCATTGCTTACTAAGTCCCTGCAACTTTCTGGCAGCGCTGACAGTGCCGAAAACTTAGTCGGATGCATGTCACATCAAGGCAGGGTTGAAACATGTGCAAGCTGCAAGACTGATTGCTGGTGGCATGGACAGTCGTAAGGTCCGCAGCCTGGAAGGGTGACGTTGCCATCGTGTTAGAGGCGTTTCTGAATTTCAACGATGCCGAGTCATGTCAACGTCGAGTGGCAAGAAAACGCCAAGTGATCCCGACAGGACTACTCCGGCGGAATGGGCTGTCTTTTCGGAGGCCCGTCTTGCACAGCACACAGGTGTGCTTCGAGACCGGAGCAGCTACGGAAGGTGAGTCGTCATGTGCTGGAGCCTGGCACAGCGTCCTTCTCTTTGCCTTTCCCGGAATGTCGGAGGCCAAGGATCCTTGACTTGAAGGCTAATCGCACTCGAGCAATCCTGCTGCAAGTCCGAGGCTGTATACATTGACGGAGCAGCAAGCCCAGATATGATTTGGCAGGCATTGCGGGAATCGGACCACTGAACCTCAAGGTTCCAAGTTCTGCAAGCTGCCTCTGCCACAGCTTACTTCTTGCTCGCGGCGCCACTGTCTCAGTTCCGGGTCAATCGCACGCAGTGCTTTGAGGGCAAATGGGCCTGCTGGGGAGGTTGCAGCTTCCCCTGCAAGACCTCGCGCTCTCAGCTTGAGCCTTGTGGGTTAAAATCCCACCTGTAGACCTCGAAAGCTTCTCGCTCCTGTGAGGTGCTTGATGGCTCGATGGCGGCATTTCGGTTTTCGATGCTGCCAGCAATAGGGCTAGTGGCAGCCGGGTGCGAGTCTCAGGAAGGCAGCAAGGTTGCAGACTGCACAGGGCGACTGAACCAGGCTGGTGCTCTACGGCCATGGCTCCAGCGTCTCTGCCGGCCTTGAGAGAAACACTGTGTAGGAAGAAAAAATTGCAGATCGCCAGCACGACGCCTTGGTTGCGCAGCTTAGAACATATTCCTCTCGCAGCTTGCTTGAGTCAAAACATCCCACCGCTCTTGAAACAGTTGAACTTTTATTATATCGGCCACGGCGTTGAAAGCAAGAGTTTCTTGGATCCTACGGATGCTAACGATGAGTCTTCTTCAAAACGTTTGCCAAGCATGCTAGTGAAACTCTGGGAGCATGATCCTTAGCCACCATGAAGGAACCAGGCGGAGTGTCGTTGTGTTGCTGCGGCGGGTGATGTCTTTGTCATGGGGGTGACATGGCAAAGTAAGTTATCTGGGGCAGGTCAAGCCAAGAGTTTGTTTGCTATACCGGCAGCGGACGACCCGATCAAGCATCGCAAGCCACCCAGAGTCGGGGCCAATCCTAATCTCAGGGTCTGCCCATGTCTGCGCAGAACCCAAACCCATGTCATCTTTAAGGCGAATGGGTGCTCCCGACGAGTTTTCGTGGGGTGGCTGTCAGCTTCTTTTTCCATGCCCTTCTGTGAGGCGGAGAAGCTGTGGATTCGTATGGACCGGGACCGTTGCGAAGCTGCACATAGCAGCACAGAGCCAGCAGCAGAGAGATCAGAGCAGAGCTCGAGCTCGAGGCAGTGGGACCATCACAAGGGAGGAGCCGCGATGTGGCGAAACGCATTCGCTTAAAGAGTATGGCTGTGTCTTTTCGGCATTTCCATGCTGACAGAGGAGCTTATGTGCGATGAGTTCCAGGAGATTCTCAAGGTGCTGTGCCACAAGCCTCTTGAAGCGACTCGTCCTTTCCGCATCGTTCTCTGCACCTTCAGCACTGGCAGGCAGTCATTGCACCAAAGAGTGGCTGCCCTTGTTTTGCTGATCGTTGCAGGGACGAAGACCTCAAAACATCTCAGAGCACTGCTCTGCAAACCTGCAAAGCAAACACCAAAAGCAGGGGGCGAGTCGAACGCAGCCTACGGCCGATCCGAGATCAACGTTCCGCAGGTGCACAGAAGTCAGATTTCAGTTTGCAAGGACACTGTGACTACGATTTTGAAACTTAGGGAATCTTCGACTGCAACTGCCTAGGCAGTGGACTTCTGCATGCGAAAGGCTGCGCAGAACGCCTCTGGCGACTCGTGAGCAGTACTGCGCAGAGCATGGCAGAAACGCGAGGAAGCACTTCTTTCAGTTTCAGTCTGAGATTTGCAGGGCGTCGTCCTTGTCTTGCCGAGGTGAACTGTCCTTCGAGGAGTTCAGCTCTTTTCTGCGAGTATCTTCCTTGGACTTGAAGGAACGAAGTTACAGCAGCCTCGGAGTTTTCCCTTCACTCGTCCTGCGGCAAGGTTCTGCGCAGAGCAGGGGCCAGCAGTCGCAAAGCCGATCTCATCTTCGCGCCACTCTCCAAACATTGAACGAGATTTGAGGGTAGGCCTCAAGAGCTTTTCCTACATGTTCTCCGTGACCCTAGGCTTTTTGACCTCGATCAAAGTGGGGTGCTCCGACCTGTTTCTCATTCATTATTCAAAAGCTCCACTTGTTGGTGTGCATACTGCAGTTAGGGATGTTCGATGAGTCTTTCATGCTGCATGCTTGCGGCCTGCAGAAGCTGGGTTTGCTGTCGCGGCAGTTTCTGGACAAGGAGGAATTTCTGGAGGTCTATCGCTACTTTTTGGGGTGCGCGGCATTGAAAGACATCCATGATCTTCTGGAATTGCATGTTTCGGAGCAAGAGACCATTGCTAAGGCACCGACCAACTGTCGACAAGTTCGAGGAGGAATGGGTGCCGGTCTCTGGCTGTATAGTCAGCTTCAAGTTGGATATTGTCCATCATAAGTATGATGAATGCTATGTGCCAAGCAGTGAGGCAATACTAGACGAGAAGGTGGAAGGACACGTCAGTGGCGTCCTTATGTGCAACTGCAACTCCAATAGCTTCTGCAACAACGACGAAAACAACGCCTGCAACTACAAGAACAAGAACAATAGCAAGAACAACTGCAAGAACAAGACTAACAATAGCAATAATAGCAATAACAAAGACAGCTACAGGAACAAGGAACAATAACAACAAGAAGAACAATAACAATGACACAACACTAACAAGAGCAACATTAAGAACAACGGCAACAACAACAGTAATAAGAACAAGAACAAGAACAACAACAACAACAACAACAACAATTATTTGCAATTGGACGCAGTGCGAGCGTACTCTGCACATGGCGGGCATTTGCCGCGTGGGCACTCTCTAAGCTAAGACATAGTGACAGTGAGACCTAAGTAAGACAGCAAGACATGACTTGAAGAGGGACGTGCGCTACTGACACTGAAGCCGCTCAGACTAGGTACAAAGGTCGGACGCTATGTACAGCTGTTTGCAGCTCACTTGCAGCTCACTTGTTCGTTCCGTACCTATGACAGAGTGGCATTTGGTCGAGGCAACCTGACATGGCTCACTGGCGAACTGGGCGCAAGTTGCCAACGCTTTTGCACTGCAGCTATGCACGCTGCGATGCACAAGTAGGAAGAGGACTGCCCAACAACAACAACAACAACGTCGTCTTGTTTTCGGGGGCGGACTTTTCGTGTTGCAAAACAGGTCTGGCCAGACGGAAGCCGAGGATTTAATCCTCGGACACCTCAAAGCTGCGGAGGCTAACGACACGTCCTGCCCTATTCCAGAGGATAACTCGCTCTCCGCCGTACTTGGCGCGGGGGGTTACCTCGTTTCGAGGATAACACGCTCTCCGGGATGGCCTTCCTTCCGCCAGTGGCAAGTGGTTTGCTCAACGAAGGGGTTTGGGAGAGCTGTTGAGGGAGGATCCTTTTGGAGAACTTGCACGCTGAGGACAAAACCTTGGACATTTTTGCGTTCTCCAAAATTAGAAGTTTTCCCTCCAAAGCTTTCGCACTCCAATCGCTGGTTGTGAAGGCGCAGCACATGCGTCTGGTGAAGCCCTGCTTTGGTTAGCCTATCGTGCGCCCCACACGGGGCGCTGCGCTTGTTCTCCAAGTTCTTTCGCGGCCGTGTGTGCAGGAGCTTTAGGCCGCAGCCTTTGCAGACCAGGTCTGGGCCCTTCCATGCCCATCGGCCTCTCGTGGCTGTCAGCAAGGCAAGCAAGGCTTTGGAACCATTCCACCATTGTGATGCGGTGGCCCCAGCCGATGTTGGAGCCTCGGCGCTTCTTGCACTGCCTAGGCTGCGAGTCCTTCGGGGCCCTAGGCGTTTGCTTCATAGCTTTGTAAACGGGGCTGGGCCTCCCCGCTGGCCTGCAGCATGGCCTGCCCTCGAAGGGCTAGATTCGGCTAGATGTTGCATGATGCGCCTGTGTATGGCATCTTTGGTCGCAAACCTATCGGCCACGGCGTCAGGGACCTCAAGGAAGCTCGTTTGCCTTACACCTCCAGAGGTGTGCCTCCCCGCAACGACACAGAAACTCCTCCTCGCTTTTGTGGGAGGGGACCCAATGCCAGCGCAGGCGCTTGGATCACCCTCCTGCAGTTTTTGCCAAAGGTCCCCCTTGCCCTTCCCAGGCTTTGAGGCACGGCCTCGCTTCCCAACCCCTGCACAGTCCAGGGTGAGGTCCAAAACTCCTGCCGTGTAGGTTTTACCTCTGAAAACTGTCTGCTTGGGACCTGCGCCATGATGTTGTAGCAGGTCTTGGCCTTCACGCTTCAAGGCCAGGATGCCGACCCCTACTCTCTTTAAGCGGGGGTCCTTGGCCACCGGCATCTGTGGCATAGACCAGGCCAGTGACCTTCTCCAAAGACACCCACGTACAACGTACTGAATCTGGGGCTGGTTTTGCAGAAGTGCGCAGCCGTGCTGTCAGCGGTGCCAACTAAGCCTCTCTGCTCCAGAGCCCCCCGTCCGGGCCCATTGGCGAACCTGTCGGCTCAGTAGGGGCCTCTGCGTTCTCCAGCGATTGCCCTCTGCTCCTTCGAAAAGCACCAACTCGCGCTACTCCCCTGTTGTTCCGACCTTGATCTAGCTCGTAGCCCAGATCCCAAGTGCCAATGCCAACGGACGCAGCAGCATTGCATGTACAGGGAAACAAGGAGTGAGTGGCGAGCATGGCCCTAGCTCACATTACATGTCAGTGGCGTGTCGAACTGTTGAAACCCGTGTCTTAATCCGAACCAAGCAGGGCCAAACACAAACATGGTCCGAGTTTAGAAGGTCAGAGCATGAATGTGTGTTTCAGAAAGCATGCTGCCATCAACAGCATGGAGATGTGATAGAAGAGGTATGTACATGCTTGCCGAGCACTATCTGTGATCCTGGCTGGCAAGGCCAGAAGCGATACGATCGATGGCTGCGCGCGTCAGCCTTGTAGCCCCAATGCAGCTCCAAGGACAGCTGGTGTTTCGATATCCACTGTCACTACAGGAGCACGAATCCGGTCTTCAAGCCCTTCGCTCCGTGCGAAGCTTGGACAAGCCTTTTCCTACGCCGGCTTCTCGTCCATCGCATGCTGACTTCCATCCCAATCCGAGGCCTCCTGACGACGACGCCTTAGCAAAGCAGCCCAAGTTCTCCAAGAAGGTTTGCTCGCTTAGAGTGCAATGTCCTTCCATGTCCTTCCAAGTTGTGCAGATTTCCACATAGGATGCAGACGGGCTTCTTCGACTCACAAAGCACAGAAGGCACACTGTCACAGTCGCACTTCTAGCAAGGTTGTCGACATTTTGCATCGCCAGGAGCCAGTGGCGACCGCTTTGGCTGCAGCCTCATCTTTACAATCTTGTTGTGACGGTGCAGAGGATTGATGCCAGGAATGAACGCTGGAATTGCCAAGACAACTCCCTTCTCAACAAGGCTTCTCCGGTTCTGATGTCTGCAGGGCGTTGGACCATGGCCCATGTGGTGACCGGAAGGTACTGATGCCGCGCCAGAAGCACATGTTTTCTCGAGCTCAGCTCTCAGCCTACGTTGGATCTGACGCTACCACGAACCAGAGGTATGCAAGATAATCGTGGAGCTGAGGGTTCTTGTGCCCTTGCCAGTCCAATTCAGGTTCAGTCAGAAACGGAGCTTCGAAGGTTTTATGCCCGGCCAGGGGCTAAGAATACTGCAGTGTGTGCCACGACTTTCAGGGAACTCTGCGGGCATGGTGCCAAGGCACCCCCGATGGGACGCTCAGTATGAGAAGCTGGACATGCCTGAACCAGTCAGGTTCCACTGGGTGAGCTGAGGAAGAGCGAGGAAGAAGAGAGAGCTACCACCTGTTCGCATGCCGTCAGAACAGGAAGCCAACTCCGAATTATTCACCTCCTTCCAGGATGCGAGAATTTCGAACTGCGAGACCCGAAGAAAAGAATGAACCCCACAGGAGTGGCGGGGACTTGCGAGGATCCCCTTGGCCACTGGAAGGAGTGTGCCGCAACCGTGAGACGTAAAATCAAAAGGAGCTGGTTGCCACCACTGAAAGACTGAAAGGGCTGCGCCGCGATCTCGAAAAGGAGTGCGCCCGATTTCTCCAGCGGCAGGGTGATTCACGGGATTCACGACGCTTTAAGAACTCGATTCTCATGAAGACCTCTATCTTTATTTCGTGATCATTGTGGATGCACAAGAAAAAACAAGGTGGCAAAAACATGGCAGTGAACAGTCTCCTTTCTGCCGATTTGGGTACAATTTCCTGTAGATAGTGTTTCGCAAGAATGGCCGATGGGCCGAAGGAGGGGCAGGACAGGAGAGAGATGTTTAGAGGCACAATCGACAGGTGATTGCATATCGAGGATCAGCAGATGCCTTACTTCAAGCACCATCTGATCAGGACGACGAGGAGGGTGTCAGCAAATTTAAATTCTCTGTTTCCTCTGCTCACGAAACTGGGCTGTCCGATTCGCCGGACGATGCCGGACGACAGGAATTTACGACCAAGCCATATCGTCCGACAGAGTGTCCTTGTTCCGATCACCAGCATGCAGAGGAGAACTGCCTTTGTCAGCAACCGACCAGGCCACAAACGATGCTTACGGCCGACATCCCGCCTTTGCTGCCCGAGCGGCACGTGCCGAATGGCAGGTCCTCCCATGGGATGTAGATAGGCTTAGCTGCCTTGCACTGCCATGCTTCTGGCTGAACTCTGCAACTGTAGTGTTGAGTCATTCACTCAGCACGGCCGGTTGGTGCAGTCGGCAATGCTTAAGATGCACATGAATGGCTGGTTGGGAAGGGACATGTGCACTTTTAACCATGTAGCCATTTTGGCTCAAGCTGTCTTGCTCAGCAGCTGCAGCA